CTCACTGGGCTCAACTGAGGTTTCCCATGTTAGAACGATCTCTGGCCATGCCAGTGCCCAGCCCTCCCCACCAGCCCCGTTCCCAGCAGTGCCCCAGCATGGTGCTCTCCCACAAGGACATCCACTGAGCCCTGAGCATCCCCCACTGTGACACAGTCCACCTCCACCACCAGCCCTGCATTGCTGTATAGGAACAACCACAGCCAGACAAGGCCTATATCCACCTTCAAATTTTACCTGCTCGGAGTTAATTTCATCAGCCAGAAGGAAACTAAATAATTACATCAGTTTGCCCCAGCAACTGGATGTAATGAAGTCTCTCCACATGCTTCTACTGAATCACTCTCAATTCTGCTTTATGTTGTTTTGTCCTCCACATATACGCCTTGAAAATACAATTATCATCACCTCCTTATTAGATAAAGATACTTAGCATAGCCACAGGCCAGCAATTCACTGTTCACTGGGTTGGGTTCATCATTTTGCAAGGCCCAGAATAAAATCAATAGCGCAGCAACAGCAGGTCCCAGGGAGCAAGGAGACAGGAGCAAAAACCTTCCAGGGATATAATGCTGTTCTCCCAGTGCAGACGGAGCAGCAGAGCTGGAGGTGGCTGCCAGCCCTGAGGCAGCAGCAGAATCCCTCACCGGGACCTGGAGTCAACACAAGGCTGGGGCTGGCTGCCAGGCCAGGCTGGGGGGCATGCTCTGTGCTAGGGAAAATCTGCTATTTCATCTCAGCATTTCCGATGTTCACGACTCCATGACTAACCACAGGCACACGCTTTGCCAGAATATCATCAACATAAAGATGAGGGCAAACCTGCCCACAGCCAAGGGTACTGTTTGTTCATTAGTGGTTAGCCACATCCTGCAAGAGCAGGAAGCCACCGTAAAACTACAATTACACAGGTCAACCAGAGCAAAGTCTCCCATTTTGAGTTCAGCTCTGAACCACTTCTTGTGCGTTTCTGTGCCCTCCTTGCTCTGCTGAGGCCCCACAGACATGACAAGGCTCCAGCATCCAGGGGGAGATGGAGCCATCCAAAGCAATGGTGCCCCAACCTACTGCAAAGTCCACCTGCTCATTCTGCAAAATTAACACCTGTGTGTACCTCTCCTCCTCTGGGCCTGCTGGAGAAAGGTTCCTGTCTTCCTCAGGGAGGGGAAAATGGAAACTGAGATCAGCTTTGTTTTCCTTCCAGCTTTCCTTCCTCAAGCTCTCCATCCATCACGCGCACGAAATCCAACAGATGTTGGTTTTGTTTAACAGCTGCTCAGGGGGAATCAGGACAGGGCATGAGGTGGCAGTGACAAGGAGCAAGTTTTCCTAACAGTCTTCTTGAGAAAAAAGTAAACGGGCAGGAGTGCAATAACAAATACCACAAGAGTGTCCTGTAATACCATGAAAGACTTCAAGCCTTTTGCTCTGTAAACAACGGAGAATATTGCAAAGGCTCCTGAGATTTGGGGCCAAATCTCTCTAAAGGGCATCACTGACAAAGAGGGCAGAAAAAAGGAAAAAAAAAAAAAGATCAAGACACGCAAAGAAAATCAAGTGTCATGGCAAAGACAGAAAGAATGATGGGTGCAGATTAAAAGAGAATAAAAATAAAAGGAATAGCGGAGTTACCGGGTAACCATCGCGTCCTGACTGCCCCTGTGGTGGGGAACAAGCGAGATATCAGGTCAGTCAATGCTCATGGCAGCAGGCAGGGCAGGGGCTGTCAGCTCCCCAGTGGCCCTAGGACCGAACTCCTCCGTAGAAATCTCTCGGGGCAGTTTTCTTCCCCAAAAAGGTCATGCCTACAGCCAATTTTCCCCAGATTTTGACCTCATGCCTCACTTGAGCTACTTACCGAAGGCTTGGCCAGCTTGCCCCCATCCCTGCTGCCCATGAAGCAAACAGTAGGGTCCCAGCCACGCACCCATGGCCCCATCCCAAAACCAGAGAGAGGTTTGGTTGGTGATTGCTGAGCACTGAACTACCGCAGCACCTGATCCTGTGCAGGTTTCCCCTTTCAAATCCATTACTCTCTTTGAGGTTGAGATTCCCCCAGCTCACCTCTACAGCTCGCTTGTGTTTGCAGTGAAGTGGAAAGCCAGAGGATGCTATGGGGAAAGACCTTAAGTCATTAACAATACCTGTAGGAGCAGCAGAGAAAACCCCAACTCAACCAGAGGACTTCACCCTTTTTGCTCCCCCTCTGGGGGCTCCCAAAGGCATTTACAGCTCCAGCTGAGCCAGTGACACAGTGAGGGACTGCTGTAAGCCAGACACCAGGCAGATTGCTGGGAAGGAGCTGTTAAGCATTAGCTGGTACACAGGCAGGCAGTAAGGCATGTGTCTGCTACAGCAGTGTCATATGCTACTATAAACATAGATTATGTCAGCATGCCTCAGATATGCAGCGAGCTCCACACGTTTCTTACAGCACGAGCAGCTCTGGCAGCCCATTCCTATCCATTACAATGGTTTTCACTTCTTGCTAAGTGCTCCTGCAGCACCATTGGTTCATCCAGAAACAACACTGGCTTCCACAACCACCTATTTAACAAATTGCAGCCTTGGGATAAAGCATACAGTGAGGTCTTTATAGAGATGTATGGCACTGGAGCACACACACAAATAGGAAACACTTGTAAACTCGCTCGCTGGTGAGCTTCCCAGTCAGCATGCTAATGCATAAAGTGTCTGCTAATATCTGAGTCTGTAAATGTTTAATTATGTATGTGGCAAGTCTATCCTTCAATGGCAGAAATTTCCTACCCAGCATGTGATTTTAATACCCTCTGAAACAGAGGTTTTATAGCACAGCAGAGCAGAATCCCCCTCACTCACAAGACAGGATGATCAATCATCCAACAGCCACAAATCCTGCACCACAAATTCTAATAATTTTGTACACACAACTAGCTTATGACAGCCAAAAAATGAAATGCCAGAACAACTGCTACTAGGGAACAACAGAACTGAGGATACAGCCTCAGCAGTGCGATGCTGTACATGTAAGACGTAATCAATTCCTTATGGCCAAAATCAAGAAACAGAAGAAACCAATAGAGCTAAATGCAGTACTGCTGAAATAAAATAATATTGTGGTTCTGTGGGTTCTAGGACTTTTATTATAATGTTTAAAAGAAGTCTCTGAAAAAGGCTACTTGAGCTAAAAATTGCAAGATCATTATTTTTTTAAATGAACTAAAGCAGGAGCTGTCTCTGGAAGGGCAAAGGGAGAGAAAAACGCCTTGTTTGTGTTCCACGTCCCCTGCGCTCCGCCTGCAATTCAGTAGTGCCGTGGGAACCAGGAAATGAAACCAAGGAGAAACAAAGCAAAACTCAGAGTGCTCCATATGTTGCCTCTGCCGAACGGCGCACCACGAAGCGCACGTGAGGAAGCGCAACGCGGCTGGCTGCGTGCGGGCTGACGGCAGGTGCAGAAATGGTTAAATCAACCCGTTTAGAAGCCAAAGTGTTTGAATTAAGAGAAAAAGTCCCTTAAAGACATATCAGTGGAGTTCAGCTCCAGCACCCCGAGCACTGTGCATCCACGCAGGGCTCTGCGATCCCTTCGGATGGCGCTTGCCCCTTTCACACCATTATGAACATCTCCAAAACCCATCGTTTTTGTTGTGTGGGCAGAGAGGCCGTGCTGTGGTTTTCAATTACAGAATATTTACAGGAAAATGATTTCATGGTCAGACTAAACTTCTGAACACAAACTGACAAGGAAAATTCATTTGTTTGCCTTTCTTGAGCCAACCAGTATCTGGGATTTATGGCTAATATTGGGCACAACACTTAGAGTCAGTGTGTTCAGATCTCCTCTAAGAACAGTCAAGTCAAAGCCATTAAGCCTTAAATTTTCCTAATTTGCTCCTTCGAAACGTAGCCCAATAATAACTTTACTCAATCCCCTCTTCGGGCTAAAAAACAAACTTGAAATAGAAGTGAAATTTCCAACGGCTGAATGCCATTAACCAAAGCCATCAGCAGCGTGGTCCATCCCAGGAAACCAAAGCCACAGCGCTGTGACAGCTCCCACGCTCCACGTGCAGCTCCTCGTCACCTTTTGGCCTTCAGGTAGATGGACAGAACTGGAAATTCATCAGCCCAAGAATTGCTAGCCAGGCTATTTTTCCTGAAATGACCCCTTTCCAACCCTGTGAGGCCCTGTGAGACGAGAGCAACGTGAAGAAACGTCATGGACAGGGAAACACATGGCTGCCAACAGCCTGTGCCTCTCCTCCCGCACTGGGGGAAGAAAGAAGGAAAACAGAAGCACCTAACACCCATAAATCCTCTTTAAAAACCCCTCAGCAGCGAGGAGGGCCCAATGGAATGTTCTTTTCTTGCTCCAAAAGCAGCAGGATAACCTCAGATTTGAAAGTGGCGGTGGCACAGCGAAAGGCACGTCTGAACATTTGGAAAGAGGAGTTGACACATTTTCAACTATTACCCCTTCAAACAACAAATTCCCCATAAATTTTCTGGTTGCACTGGGAGGAATGTTCATTATTCTCCCCAGGACTTCAAAGAGAAGCAAGCAAGCTGCATCTTTCCCTCCAGTCCCCGTTGCAAGGCTACAAAACCCATGTTAAGTGATGGAAACACAACAGATAAGAAAAGCAAGGCAGAGCTTTGGAACTAAAAATCCCATCAAAATATTAAAATATTAGTATAGCGCTCTTGGGGTTCAATAGAAGCTGAGTAAAGAAACTCTAAAGGGAAACCTTTCTTTTTTTTTTTCCTTCTGAATATTTGCTGGGTTTAAAATTACTGGAAGTCCCCGAGGGCAGCAAGTTAAACATTTTAGAACTCCCCCCACACCATTTGTCTACAATTGTGAAAAAAATACAGCAGCATCTGGTACCAATTTTCCTTCCAGACACACCTCTACCAAAAAATGCTGTGCTTTTGCAATGACACAGAAAGGAAGGGGAGGGTGAAGGAGAAAGCCTTAACTTTGTCGATCCAACTGTAAAATCCACGATACTTACTGCAGGTCCTGGAAAACAAAAGAAAAACAAAGAAAAAAGTCACTTAATCATGAAGATGAAGCATAACCTAAAAAAGCACAGAAAAGGGGGGAAAAAAAATAATCAGATTTACATTACTTCTCAGTTCAATTCCAACATGATGACTTTCTAGATAAACTTGACGCTACCCTCGTTCTCCCATGTCACGCATGTCGTTGCCCTGCCAGCATTCATGGCGGGCGTAAAATCACATTTTTTACACCTTTGTTCCCAGCGTGACTCCATCCTCTCTCTCTCTGCACAAGACCCCAATTACAGCATAAGGCATCACCCACAATCACTGCCTGGGCATCCCTTGCAACCATGGAGCATGGCCAGCAGAGCCCCTCAACACAGCTGGAGTTCCAAAGTAAGAAGGGTATCTTCACCATGGAGCTCCACATTACTATAGAAGAGAAAACAGAGAAGAAATTTCAAAAGCCATCTTTGCCACAGAAGCAGCACAGTGATATGGCTGCCTTCAAGGTCAGAGGGATGCAGCAATCCCACAAGTCTACAATAGGTTTTGGATGCCAGTATCACTGGTTGAAGCTGTAGTTAACGGTAGTTAATAAACAGTAATAAATAATCACAGAGAACGATGCTCCCCTGCAGGGTCTCTGCCACGTGCCCTGCCGATTTCTGCAGATTTCCCAGCATTTACCCTGGTTGGTGCTACCCGGAGGTGAACCCTGAGCCCCTGCTCTAATGCAATCCATGTTTACTCCCACTTGCGAGGCATCCCAAAGCTTGCTGGTTTGGGCTCCTTCATGCTCCATTTCCTGGCTGATCCAAACCAGAAACAAATTACAATTAAGAAAGAAAGAAAAAAAATAATAATGTGGGAAAAATTAAAACAGAGAAAAAAAAATAATTAGCTTTCCTCATTGTGTATTATTCTATGAAATACAATGAGAAGCATATTTCAAGCTAACGCATCTTCGAGGTTTTTAAAGTTTGTTTAAAAAATCTTATGTTGAAAAGTTTAATAACAAAAACCCCCAAAAGCCGAAGAATAAGGGCTGAGACCAAAGTGCCTGCTGCCAAAACTCAGCCCATTAACCTGTGCTTGTCAGCTGAACGTGGCCAGCCCCACGCACAGCCGCTGCCAAGCGCCAGCTCCAAATCTTCCCCCCACCTAGAATTCCATTTGTCTTAGTGCTAAAATCCACTCAGGCTATTAGTGTTGGTTTAGTTTCTTCTGCACACAGAAGTCAGTGGATCTAAGCCAATGTATTAACTGAGAATCGTAAACCTGATTTATTAACTCTTATACCAACTTATCCACAAAAGGCCTCACGAAGAAGAGTAAAATCTAAGTCCTGAATAAGAATCAGCCAGGAAATTATTTTAATATGGGATTTCAATCAACTACCAATTATAATCTCCTTGGGATCCATTGCCTTTTCCAGCTACCGTTTTCTCCCTGCACACACAGGGAAGTGCTCTTTTAAGGTTCCTCTCAACCACCAGAATCAAAGTTAGGGGCCTCCTGTACGTGCCACGCAGAACGCTCTCCATTGACACCCGTGGAGTTTATTGGCACTTTTGGCCAATAAATCTTCATTAAGGCATAAATTTAAACCTATAGAACCAATCTTTCCCTCCCTCAGAACAGCTCTGGCTTGCAGAACACGTTCTTTAAAAGTCTGGCCACAAGATCCTTGTCTCCTATAGAAGCAAGTCAAGTATCCTGCAAGGCAGCAATAAGCAGGAGCTCAGCCTGTGCCGAGGGGCTGCCTCCTCCCCAGCCACCTCGAGATGTGGGCACGCTGAAGAATGAACTGGAAATTCTTGTAATGAACAAAGAGCTGGAAACAGACTTTGTAACTTTCAAACTGGATAACAAATTAACTCAGGAGCTTACTTCAGAAGGAGGAGGAGGAAGACAGAACAACCCACATGTGCATGGAATTTGGTCTACAATTGGTTTCTGCGATCAGCAGCATACATCACTGCTATGGGTGAGGGACCAGCTGAGTCTGCAAGGGCATGGAGATACTCAGATACACCACGAGATTCCTTACAAAGCTCAACAGATGTGCTTGAGAGAGGTGGGACAGAAGCCTATGACAGATAAGTGACCCAAACTTCCTGACTGGGTATACAAAATAACATTCATGTCAGTCCAAGACCCAGCATGGTCTCATCCCTGGCAGCACACAGACATAAGGGAAGTGACAGGTCACAGACAATTGTTTCCACATATTTTTGCAGCTTGGGAATTTGGGGATAAGCAACTATTTCTGTTTAATCATTTATCATGGAGGCCTTCCTGCCACGACAGCAGAGAAACCAAACCAGGGACAAAAGCTACAGCGGAAAGATGTCCTGGAGCATAAATAAGTAGGACTGATGTTGCTTCTCCTAAAGCTCAGTAGATACCAACACAGTCCTCACCTACAACGGAGTGTGCACAAAGTGATGATGGTAAAACACAGGGAGCACTGAAAATTCCCAAATAAAACCCAAGCTCTGCATGATTCACGCATACACTGCGTGAATAACTGCACACGTAGGGCTGTACGTGTGCACGTGCAGGGCCAAGGGGCTTGGAAGTGCCTTAATGGGTAAAACATGGGCTGTAAGTATGTGTAGGGCTGAGAGAGGAAGAATGCTTCTCTGTGCAGAAATTGCTTTGCTCTTCATTAAAAAGAGCCTTAGATTCTTCCCTATTCCAAACTGGGATATTTCTGTAAACAGAATGGATGTAACAAAATATTTTAAAAAAATACTTTGAACCAAAACTTTGGTAGAAGTTCAAGCTAAAAAAACAACTGCAGTGAAATGTAAATTCGGAAACAAGGAAGGGTGGGGGTGAAGGCTGTTTTATCTCATTTCAAAATTTCAAAACCTTTTCCCCAGAAGTGTTTTTGAAGCACAAAATTCCTGTAAACAAAACTTGCAGCCAGAGACAGCAGCTTTTACCCACGTTTCCCAATGAAACAGCACTCTGTCAAATAACAGCCCCTCTCCAGGCGTACCCACATGGCCAATCCCTGTGCCCAAAGCAGCCACGCTACTGCTGTCAGAATCAGAGGCTCGCCTCCAGAAAACATCCAGAATCAGCTCTTACTTCACATGAAGACATCGCTGAATGCGAGTTTAGCATGGGAAGAAAACTGTATCTCAGATGTGCAGGCTTGCTGTCAGGAATAACCACAGCAGCTAAAGGTTCAAAGTCTTCCACATTTTTCTTGTAGAAGGCTGCAAACTGCACATAAGGTTGCATTAATTAAAATGCATTTTTCTTTCCATGCACCAGCACTTCCTGAGGACAGATGCACGAAGGCCTTCCATGCCACGCTTTATTTCCAACGGATGAGCAGCAGCTGGCATGCAGCAGTCAGCCCCATCCATGGATCTGGGGCTGTGCTGGAGCAGAGCAAGGACAGCCAGGACCACGTTGTGCTGCTCCAAGATGCACACGTGCTGTGGGGCATCAGCTGGTCCCTGCAGGAGCTGCAGTGGAGATTCCCAGGGCCAGATGGCCGCTCGCATAAATACCGCGGGTCAGACAGCACCGCTCGCCTCCATAACTCTGAGTTTGTTTAGCAAGACTGACAGCTGCAGGATTGCTCCCCAAATATCTCAGCTTCACATTTATGGTCGGTGAGGAGGTGAAGGAGTCGCGATGCTCAAGCCACCGCCAGTGGTTTATCCCAATGTTTTCACATCCTTCTGGAAGAGCGCGTAACACGTCTGCCCCATTTCAAAATCCAAACGGTTCACTTTTTTTTTCCAGAGTTGGTTTAAAACTCATCTCTTACGGTGCCTTCCTGTGGCACAGAAGTTGTCTCAGCATGCTTTCAAGATGATGAATTCTTAGCTTAGAGAAACGTAGAGCTGTTCGATTAATTTTCTTTATGATCCGAATCCATCAGAGCCAAAGAAAAAAGTAAAATTGAGTCTTGGTTTAAATCAACAGAAGAGTGCGATTGAAATGGGACAGGATGATCTCTTCAAGGTTTCCCTGCTTGTTTATAAGAGATACAGATTGAAAGTTTCAACATGAATCAGAAAAAGGTTTTTTCAATGTTACCATTTTAAGAACTGCCAGGAAAAGCTCTCCCTTTGGCAGGGCTGGAGCCAGCACTTCGCCTCCTGGCTTGACAACAGTGCTTGTCTGGAGGCTGTAAGACCATAACCACATCTGGCCTCTGGGGATGGATGCTATCATGCTAGGCAAACAGTGTTTTATTCACATTTATCAGCTGCAGCGAAGGAAAAAGAACCTGGTTTATGTGTGGTCAGGTTCTCAAATATAGAAATATATATTCAAGCTATCTATGAAAACAAACATCTGGCAGCTCGGCCAAAAGCAACATACGGAGGGAAGCCTGTTCTCCACGTTTCTATCTGCAGCAGAGCAGAGCAGGCCTCAGGGCTGCACTGCATTACACAGGTTTAACTGCTTTGCCCCATCGATTGTGTGTGCATGTGTTGGTGCACACAGGTGTTTGCTGATGCCAGCCACTGCTTCAGAGGAAATCAGCGCCAAGGCCCATTGCCAGCACGTGCCCTGTGGCTCTTCCTTCTCCAACATCCCACTCTTCTTGATTTTCTTCACAGTTGCATAAAACTTGAGAAAAGATGCATGTTATTAATGACTATTGGTTTTTTTGTTTTTTGTTTTTTTTATGTTATAACTTGTGCTTTCCTGTTGGTCCTGTGTTGATTCACCAGCAGCTTTCTGCCTCTCCAGTGGGATGCGTGGACAGCTGCAACACGACGTTAAAACCTTCAGAAACACCACGACCCAACAGCAGTGTTGATGACACGAATCACTCTGCCTTCCACATTTGCTTGGAGTTCATCAAGGAGTTACCCTCACAACTGTCCAGAGGGCATGGGGACATCCAGGACCTCCATCCTTGTGCCAATCTGCTCACACAGCACTTGTGGATGTGCTGTGGCATAACCAGAGCAGCCTTCAGAAGCTCTCATGTGAAGCAAGATGACAAATGAAACATGAAGGCACACTCACATTTGGTGCTGCTAAATTTTGATACGGGCTAGAGGCACCTAGGAAATGCTTGCATGAATATGTGTATAAACGTACCAAATTCATGGCAGTTCTTGCCAGCTGCCCTTGGTGGAATGCTGTATCCTTTAAGGGCTTTCATGAGTGCTCTGATGTTTAAAAACGAACATGAAAAAAATCAAAGCCAGCTGGTGGTCGTTCCTACAGCCCAACTGCTGGGAAAAGGGGGTTTGGTGAAATGGACTGGGATCTGCCATTGTCACCATGAGAGCAGTATCCCTGCCCTGGCTGCAAGGAATCCCTGATGCTTTGTGAGCAAAGATGCCTCAGAAACACACGGTGAGATGGCACCAGTGAAAGGAAATGTCTGCCTGCCCCCACAGAGATCAGCTCCTGGCCCGCAGCACTAGCAGCCTGATTCCCTCTCCCCATAGTTAAAACAAAGAGAAAAAACCATTAGAAATGGCTGGCCAGAAAGTTATGCTTTTGGAAAATGCGGTAGTTTATCGACTGTAGCCAACAGCAGCAGAGAGCAGCCTCCTGGATAAGAAAAAACCTGCCTGGTCTCCATTCATTCACTCAAATTCAACAGCTTAAAAGATGAGGAGTGTAGAACTTCATCTGTTGGTCTCTGACACGCCTTTCTGGTACTTTCCTTTAACAAGATGCAACCGTTCTCCTTAAAAGAGCAACACAATCTACACCTCTCCCCTTTCCAACCACATTCAGACCTAAAAGCAGAACACAACAGCCCTACTCTCCTGCTGTCACAAGATCAGTGCTTTCCCAGTTCACAACACAAAAGAAAACCAACCAGACAGCAAAACGACAGAGATGCAGAACCAAAACACTTAGCAAAGGTACAAGTTCCCACCCAGGCACAGTTTCAGCAGGAGCCAGCCCACGGGGCACGTAACAGCATTGGTACCCGGGGGTGACTGCGGTGCTTACCAGGCTCTCCACGCCGTCCAGGCTTCCCTCGCCTCCCCGGAGGGCCTGTAGAAAGAGAGCTGAGGGTTAGTGATGGGCACACTGTGAGCTCTGCCCCTTGTGCCCAAAGTACTGTCTGCCCCCCCTCCCCACCTCCCAGCCCACCAGCCTCCTGCACAAAGTACATCGGTACAGTGAAAAAGGGGGGAGAGATGCACCTAGGCAAGGTAGAAAGGAGGAAGGAGTTTTTGAAGTTATCGTGCAATGTTGTAGAGGGATCTGGGTCTTAAGTGCTCCAAAAACTCAGAAGAAAGTTGTAGAAACTACATACAGATTTGTGCTCTGCGGTGCAGCTGCAGTTCTGGGCAATCCGTGCACCACACAAGTGGCTGCTGCAGTTTTGCACATTACAGCAATGATCCAAGTGTGGAATGGGAACCTCTTCTTACTAATCCGAGTCAGGAGTTCCCACATCGACTGCTAGAACAGCTTGCTGATGGAAACTGCCCTTTCTCTCCGATTTCCCCTATTATTATGAAAAGGTGAAAGAAAAAGTCCACAGCAGCAGCCTCCCCTATGAGCACGCAGGGGGCAGGGGATGTCCTCACAGAGCCCTGGGAGGAAGAGGCTGAGTTTTGGAGCAAGCACCTGGCATACTGGTAGTGGTGCTTGCAGCTAACTGAGGGGAGGTGTGGTGCTGAAGGGTGAATGTGCAGAGCTCAGGCTCTGAGGATGGCAAATGTGAGAAATCTGTGAGAAAGCAAAGACTGCCTATTAAAAAAAAATAAACCTGCTTTAAATGTCAAGGGATTTCTTACTCCTTCACACACATCATGCAGTATTTTCCCTATGACCTTTCCTTTCCAGAAGAAAATCTGTAATAATAAGTAAAGCTTGGAACTACAAGTACAGCACCCACTGAGAGAAATGAAAGCTGAGAACAAAGACTGATCGCCTTCCATTCCATTAGCAGGATTTATCTAAAAAAAAAAAAAAAAAGTTTAAAAAAGTGGATTTGGAAAGGCAGGAAAAACATATTTTGAAAACCAGGGCTAGGATCCTGCTGCCAGTGGACATCTGACTATAGGAAAGTTTCTGATGAGAGAGAATTTCAGTGGGGGCTGAATGAGAGAATGCCATATCCAGAGCACCGCTGGGCAGCAGCTCACAGCCCCGTTGTGATGGAGGTGCCACCAGGTCATCACCCTGAGCTCCTCTCACACAAGGGACAGAAGAGCACATCCTGCAGGGCCAACCTCAGAGCACTGGGCAGAGGGAGCACACAGAACATCTCCTTTCAGATCCCTTCAGGAGACTACAAAGGGCGTTAGGGAGGCCTGGGAATTTGTTTGAAGATAAATGGTAGCTGTAAGCCGTTACCTAATGACTCCATCTCCTAAGATCTCGCAGTTCGATGCTTGTTCAATATAATTAAGATTTATGTTGCATTAGCGTCAATTGGGTAATCGCTGAGCCTTTCTTCTGACCATACCAGCTCCTCTCTATCAGCACTGGGAGTTCTTTATTTACATTTTTACGAGAGACAGTTTTGGAGAGGAGAATGGATCCGAAGCATAAAGCAGCCTGCTTTTAAACAACTTGTCACGTTCAAGCTAAACAGCCCTAATCCAGAGCACAGCGTGCCGCTTCTGACAACACCGCGAGCCTTCCGCTGAGACGACAGATTCAGTAACACAAAGGAAAAGCATGAAATGCATCGCTATTAGGGAGCATTACGAGAAAGAGCTGATAGGTGCACCTAAGGAATAGATGCTCAGAAAGAAGGTTAAAAGTTCCTGGTACACAGACTGCATTGACTCAGCTGTTCCCCTGGGCAGTGGCCACGTGTCATCCACTGCAGGCAACGAAATGAAAAGCTGTAAGTCAATACTGTTTTATAATTCACATGAAGTATTATCAAGAGCCCAAACCACATATTTCTCCATAGCACAGTAAATTAGTCCTGCTTGAACTGATTTACCCAATGCCAATTGGGCCGCTCTACTAACCCTGTAATCTATCAATACCAGGAAAACAGGTCTAGTATGTGGAACACACCACGTGCATTGTCTGTCATCATAATTAAAACAAATTGGACGCTGTCAGGTGTAGGGGGATAACCAGCTAACACAGACACCTCAACTTCATGAGCAAATTACTGCCTGTGTCACTGTTGGACATTATGTAAGTTGGCGTTCACCAAAATGAAGGTGAGCTTTAAATGCCAGCAAGAAAAAGTACCCAACATCACAGCCCAGCAAAGCCACATCTACTGTGATCTCAGCCAGAAGCACCAAGAGTACATTCAGAAATTCTTTTTCTAGATGCAATCATCTCTAACCCATTGTGTTCTAACATGGGATTAAGCTTGATACCATTTTGGAGGGCTCACCCACTCACATGCTTGGCACTTTTAAAATGTTTAATTTTCATGAGCTGGAAGTCATTTCGATTGTTTCCCCTTCTCCTTGTGGGGGTTTTCAAGTTGTCTTCAATAAAATTACTTCCCCCCTAAGCCCCCATTGAAAATGAGTCAACCAGAAGAATAGCTTGAACAAATTGGTTGGTTCGGCCCCAATCTCAGAAAAGCAATTTTCTTTTTCTTTTTTTGTTCTTTTTTTTTTTTTTTTTTTTTGGTATTTTTTCCCATATGGCTTTACTTAGAAGGCAGGAGACCTTTGCAGCGTACCGCAGGGTCTGGAGCAGAGCACTGAGACTGCAGCCCTACTCGAGCTGTTCCTGCACAAAGGCCAATTTACTTTCTTATTCCCTGGGGAAAAGCTTTATGGTTCATGGACAGAAGTCAGCCCCTGCGATGCTTGCTCAGCTGATACTCATCAGGTACTCAGGTCGGGCTGCAGACTCTGAGACCACGGAACTGAGATTAAACAGTTTTGGGTCACAACATGTTGCATGAACCCTCTTGGCTTTGGATTCCAATGGACCCAAAGACTCAGTGCAAATACCAGACACAGATTAGAAACACCTACAGTTTTCCAAATGAAAACAAAAAAAAATCCAATCAGATTCATTTCAAATTTGGTCCAAGCACCGTAAGAACTCTGAAATCTTTGGCCATGCTCTATGTTAGTAGAAAAGCCACCCAGAAAGCAACGTCTGGTTATTACAGTGGAAAAAAGCTCCTTGCAGTTCAATATGCAAGCCAGTTGCTTTCAAGATACAGAAAAAAGCAAAGGATTATTTTCTTTCTCATACCTCCATGCAGATCTTCCTGAACGAGGATGCAAAGAGGAGGATGCTGCATGCTGGGGAGCTGTGCTCAATCTCAGGGAAAAAAAGAGCTCCACAAACCAAACTGGAGCAGCTGGGCAGCATGTCTGTGGCTATGCTTTGCCTAGAAGAGTCCAGAACCTTGGCACCAGAAATTTACAGCCACAAACTCCTCTTTAACTACAGCTGAGCTAAAATGAGGGGGTCCCAGTGAAGAGGATGGGATGGGGCATGGAGCTGGGGGGGGGAAACAGATAAACCACTCCAAGAAGATATGGCAGAGTCTACATCCCAAACTTAATGATCACCAACACCAATGATTCCAGCACATGAGATACATTCAGTTTGGTTTGGCACAGCTATTTAAATATCCCAAATTTACCACTGGTCTTAAGTGTTTTTGTTAATCGTAGCCAACAAAGGTTTCCCTTCCCATGGGTGAATCCTTGCTGCAGAAGGAAAAATAATATTCAAGACCATTCAAAGAGTAAAATTATATATATATATATGTAGAAACAAACTGAAGAGCCGACTGTGCTTCATTTACAGCAACTGAGACTGTGCCATATGCTGAGCATTCTGAATCCACCCCCACTCCTAAATCATTTTTCCCTTTTTCCTCACACCCAGAGACAGCTTCTTCAAACAGTCAAGTGCATGCAGCTCTTTTGTTTAGTCACCAGGGCATGAAGATAAACTGAATTTGAGATATAAATTAAGAAGTGACTGGAATAAAGCCACAATTGCACTTACATCAAACATGGAATTTTTTCCTTTTGTTATGGCTGGGCTTACTCAGGCCATTTTCTGATAATACCCTGGCAAAGCTGCAGCAAAACACAGGGCAGGAGCAGATGTATGGAGAACACCCCACTTTATTTTTAAAACAAGAGAATGCATGTTTTGGCAGCTGTGTAGGCTGCCATATGCAAGGTAGGAAGGTTTACACGGCAGATTTCAAATTCCCACATCTGCACTGGTGCAAATCCTGGACAGAGATGGTAGCTCTGAAAAGCTTTCAGAGTGTAAGCACAAATGTTTGCACACACATGAAGGGCTTTGCATTGCTTTATGAGAACGGTGGCTGTCTGTGTTCACTGTGCTCTGACACACTCTGAACTCTGAGAAAAGCTGATCAAATCAGGCTTCTCGAGGTATGTGCTAGCTAGTCAAGTCAGGCAGAGTTTCATCAACGTGAATCTAGCAAATAAACAGACTCCTTTATCTGCAATGGATGCAAACTGGAAAACCACTCGATGGTAGAGCTGAGGAAGAGGAGCAAAGTGAAACTCACACCAGAGCCCTCCAGCAGCAATTGGTAGAAATTCATCAGCCTTACTGTAACATCTTCAGGCAAATTAAAGCATCGTTACCTACAACAGATGAGCAAACATACCCTCAAAGACTGCTTTTTCCGAAAGCATTTGCAACTTGGCTTTTTTCTGCTAAAACATTTGCAAACACAAAGCCACCTCCTGCAGGAGGCAAGTCACCAGGATCAGAACAGTCCCCAGTGAGCAGGATGCCCAATTACCTGCCAGGTGCAGTATTGCTTTGCTTGCATCAGTAAATCTGCCCATACAAAGTACCAGCCTGCCTGCAATAATAAGAAACACGTACAGATGTTGGGAATACCCCTACAGCATAGGAAATGGCTGTGCATTTCTTGCAGTAAAGCACTTATTCTCTTTTTTTCCCCAAGAACTGCAAGACACTTCTATAAGGTAAGCAAGATAATGAAGCACTTATTGCTTCCTCTGGTTTTCAGTTACAATCTCACATTTAAACAAGTTTGACATGTTGGATTACAAAATCTCTAGTGCAACATTCAGATC